CTGCCATGGTGTGTTAAACATACCTAATTCATCTCTCAACACTTTCACCTTCTTTCGTGTTAACGATCGCATAATATTCAAGTAATTCATTATTCGGTTACTTTATTCAAGTATCTAACATGGTTACACAACAAGTTACCTTATTGAATAACAAACTGGTATGATACAACTAAAAACACTAAATTTCGCATTTTACTTTATATTACTTTTGTTAAACACCGTTCAATCGATACGTACATTTAACGGACTGTAATATAATTTATACTGATGTGAACTAAAATATAAGATATTCTTTATATATAATTCTACTGTACGTGTGTATGTCACCGAACTCCTCGTAAACGGCTGGACCGATTTTATTGAAATTTTTTGTGTGTATTTTTAGGTCGAGTCGAGATTGGTTTAGATTTCCACTTTTTTCACAATTCGTAGACAGGAATAAGTAATTTAAGTCGTGTATACAGGACAACGTCTGTCCGGTCCCTATAGTATACATATAATAAACATTTTAAGCTACATTTTTACACAACGTTCTCTAGTCCCAAACTAAGCAACACTTGTACTATGTATGGATACTAATTAACTGATAAACATACTTTTCTTTTGTAAATAAATACATATATATAACATATAGAATCACTATGTTCATCACACAATATTTTTCCAGTAGTGAGGATCGAACCCACGCCCTCTGGCGCAGGAAGCAGGCACACTACCCACTACGCCAAATGATGATGGTTGAAAGAGAAAGGTTTAGTTTAACAATAATATGGAACACTTACTACAAAAATGGCAACAAATAACAGGCTTTTACTGACAATTGGCGCTTAACTGAACAAAGGTGAAATTTAAAGTTTTTTATAGTGCTAATCTCTGCACTTAGGATTAAACTTTTTCTACAAGTTTTAATGAACTAAAGGTGAGCTAAAAACATGAGATATATTAATATGAGTTCTCCAAGTTTCCATGTTGCAACAAATATTCATCGACTCGATAAATAAATAAGATAAATCGACTTACGTCGACAAAATGTATTATTATTTTTTTTTTCGAAAATTACTAAAGTAACGTAAACACAAAAAAGTTTTAAAGTCTTGCCATTATTGTGAAAATTAAAAGTAGTTTTTAAAAAAAGACATGTAAGTAATGAAAATGCATTGGGATTTATAGGGGAGAGTTGCGCGGTTCGACCCACTATAAAAATTGAGTCACACCCACCCACCAGAGTACCCGGTACAGAGTACCCACCCATATAAGTCACTTATCAGCCTATCGACCTATAGACATCGGCCATCATCATTTCAGCCTGCTAGAGTCTGACTGCTGATCATAAGCCACAGACAACAGACTGCCGACCTAGCTCAGGAGGTTTGTAAGCTGAAGTGGCGATGGGCCGGCCATATAACTCGTAGAACCGATAACTGATGGAGAACAAAGGTTCTGAAGTCGCAGACTCGTACTGGCCATCGCAGTGTGGGACGACCCCCCACTAGATGGAGTGACGACCTGTGCAAGTGTGCGGGAAGTCGATGGATGCAGGTGGCTCAGGATCGTGCTTCGAAGCAGTGTATGGGGGAGGCGTTTGTTCAGCGGTGGACTCAAACAGGCTGAAACTATGATGACAATCTGCTTACTTAAAAGGCCGTAACTCAACGATGCAAAGGTTTAATGGTGCAACAGTTTACGAAAGCTACCATTTCATAATGCAATAATGAGATATAAAAACCCAGCAAGCTCCGTGGCGCAGTCGTCAAGGTATTGGCTTCGGCGTCGGGGGTCGTGGGTTCGATTCCCACACGGGACAACTATTTGTGTGACCCACAGATAGTTGTTTCGCATCTGGGTGTTTGTCCACGTGAAATTTATGTATGTAAAACGACCTTGCAACACAGCATAATGTTATCCTAAAGTGAGGGCAATGTTTAAAAAAATAAATGAAAAATAATTAACAATTGGATATCTCAAAAGACCTCAGTTATATCGGTCAGGGTTAAATACGAAACAGCCGCGTCGAGTGCGAGATGAGTGCAATTTTATAACGGTTACATAACAATTAACCGCCGAACAATTAACCTACTTTATTTACGAAAATTCTAATTAACTGCGCTAAGCACGTTACATCTGCTTTTAAAATCCGCTACCATTTTAATGATTCACAGCATCAATGGACAAATTAAGGAACCACGAAGAACTAATTCTATTTGTGTTATTAACATAAATATGGTAAACTGTTATTTATATTCAAAAATTCAAAATACTATACGGATATTTTCTTGTCATGGTAGAAACTCTTCAAATATACTAATGACAGAATTACCAAGTTTGACTTTTATCACAGAAGACATTAAATCCTTTATGATTGACGATTCTAACAGTCAACATTTAGATTTGGGGTGACTTTCCCGTAGGAAATTTGAAATATGCTTCTAAATGCTTGGCAATTATTTTCAAATTCAAATATCTTTATTCAATATAGAAGTAACCCAAAACTAAATAACTAAAATTAACAAAATTACACTTAGTAATTGATTGTCAAAACGCTACCACGCTTTTTAGGATCCTATCATCATTGATACTAAATCTAGGCCCAAACGTACCGGTACTGCAGGACTAGATACAATTAGCACCAACTGTGTAACACACATAATTAATAATTAAAAAAACTGGCGCTAGCCCTGGCTAATAATGACTCCAGCTCCAAAAAAACTCCAAAAAAAATATTTTCCACTTTTTAAAAATTTATTAAATGCGTGATTGGCACAAGGTGTCAAGGACACTACTAAGGATTTGGAAAATAAGCTAATACTAAAGGTCATTAGGTCTGTTATGGGTCTTTGACGAGTGTGCAAAGTTTGATAAAATCTGGTCATTCAAAGAGGTGCGAAAACATATTAGAATTCCGTTACATTCATGCAAACATACGGGTGAAACTAATATAAAAAAAAAACAATAATAATATTTTAAAAATCATGTTAAGAATTAATGCGATAAATCCTTAAAATTAGATTCATTTCGTTTATATGATATATGTTAAGTAATATATACGTGAATTTATTTGCAGGTACCTTACGTGTTAACAAATTTTGCATTCCGTGATTCGCAGAGACAATGAAACTTCCTAAATTCAACCTTATGCAGTTTTCCTCATTTCCGAATAGATGGAGCTGTTTGTGCGTTAGGGGCCAGTTAATAATTTACCTAAAATGTATCCATGTTTTAGACAAAAATAAAATGGAAAAATGTTTTAACGATAATATGAAGATGTTATTGTGACAGTTTAATGATGTAATCTTTAGTGTATCGTTGAATGTTAATTACTCCCAACGATGTGCAAAAGCGACATCTCTTGGTCGCTAGCAAACATGAGTTTACCAGCTTTGTAAAAAGTTTCCTTATCAAAAATTTACTACTTAATTAAATATTACGTCACATTTAATAAAATTCGCACTTGATGATACAGACACAACACCAATGAACATCCTGAACTATTCTGCAACGAAAACTTTTATTTTTTCAAACTTTAAACTGAACAAATAACCGAAGAAAAAATCTGCTCCTTAGTGTTAACAATATACCGGACTATGATTATTTAAGCCTGACCTGACCGTTTTACAAAACGGCCAGGTTTAATAATCCTTTAGGAATTAAGAGACGAAAATTAACACTGATTTTGAATCAGCATTGGGAATTTAAGAACAGTATATAAAGAAATATATTCAAGAATTTATTGCAAAGTATTCATAATATAAAATCGGCAAAATAGTTTTTTTTAGCGATGCATGAAGTAGACAAGAAATGTCGTTTGTTTTTTAATGCTTTGCAGCATTTATCTAGAGTCTACATCATCCATCTAGATTCTAGACCATAGATAAGACATATATACTGACATACGTTCTAGACGGACTACCCGTAAATCGATTACATTAAATTATTTCACAATATGTAATATTCACGAAATTAAATATATTGTATAAATGTCTTGTTTTTTGTGAAATTGTTCAACTTTTTTTGTGAAAATTTCATGTGAAACGGTTGCATGCGAACATGCAATTCATCCGATGTTAAGTGATTAACGCCGTCCATAGACATAACACCCGTAGGATTGCACATTCGTTACCAACCTTCAAGAGTAGGCCCCGATTACCTCACTCACCAGACGCGAGGCAAGAGTGTTATACTTCAGGCCGGATTTTTTTCAGGTATTTACATTTCTACACATGAGTCCACCCTGTGTTGCAATCGAAACGAATCGCATCACATAAAATCGAGCCGTACTGTAATGTAGAAAGAGCTTAAGAAAATCGATGATAACGCAGACAATGCATAATTGGCCGTTCATCGAATTTTCACCGCAACTGTACTAAATCCATCTCCGCCTTATGCGGCACATCTAAACCGTTTGTTAGCATAAACTGCATAGCACTATCGATACGTTTTGAACTCTATTCGGACGGGATAAAGTTTAATTTACATTCGTGTGTTATGCTGATGACTAACGCTCTGGGAACCTTCCCACGTGTTCAGTGAATACAATGGCTCGATTCATTCAAGCCGTCTTCGCCCGATTAGTACAGTACTGTCGTGTAAAGAAGTGATTAATGCGCGTAATTCTTTCAAGAGACGGATTCTGCGTAACGAATAGTAATGTCGGTCGAAGTATGCTTAATTTTGTTTACTTACTCCTTAGTTTAAATAGCTCAGTGTCCGGGCGCTCGCCTTTAATTCAATATACTCGAGCAACCTGAGTCGATCCCCGGTGCTGGCACCAATGAAATTGTTAATTTTAAGTGCCGAATTATCTCGTGCTCGGCGGTGAATGAAAACATCGTGAGGAAACCTGCATATTTTCGAAATAATAACATAAAAAAATATTTCGCATGTGAAGTTCGCCAATCTGTTCGGCCGCGTGGTGGACCCCATGCCCTGGTACCCTCTGTACAGAGGAGGCCTTTGCCCAGCAGTGGGACATTTATAGGCTGTTACTTTACTTGTAGACTTACGTTCTCCCTGTCGACGTCCAGCTGGGTACTATCCCTCCGTGCCAGGCTCAACCTTGGCCCGCTGCGGGCTTCGTTCTTCTCGAACCTTCTCCGCCCGCCGGTGGCCGTGTTGAGCTGCCTCTCGACGCGCTCCCTCGCACTCCTGAACCCCTCGGAGACGTTCTCCGTCGAGCGCCACACCTTCTTAGCGCCCGACAGCGGCTTCTAGGTGACGAGCGGAACGGGTTTATTTTTTTTTGTGGTTTTAAAGTTATCGTCTTTGCTGTAAGATAAAATCATGCCGTGATGTGAGGACGTGTTCACGAAAACACCCACAGATTTAGAAACAGTTATCTGGGAGTTACAAATAGTTGTCCCGTGTGAGAATCGAACCCACAACCATTACCCTGCTGCCGAAGCCGATACCTTCGCTTCGGCAATAGCCTGAGGACTGGCTATTTGGCCGAAGCCAAAAAAAGTCGGCCGCCATGCCGCCTTTCGGTCAACGAAATAAATTTCGAAATGTGGTGCTGGAGAATAATACAAAAGATACCATGGACAGACATGAGGACAAACTGCTTTCCGAACCGGTGGTACCTTACGAACCTATATGTATAATTTTTATGTAAAATTTGACGATTCATAAGAACACGCAAGCGTCTATTTGAATAAAGATATTTGATTGATTGATTGAAACACATAAATTTTACAAAAGTACCACATCAAAAAACGACTTGCCTCACTATGCCGAGAACCTCAGCTAAGCTTCTTCGGGCACATAATGCGGTCACAAACGCACGAGCTGGAGAGGAGGAAGAGGAATTCCAACACGATGGAGTAAAAATATTATGGAGGCAACATGAGAAAGTCTACAACGGTCCATTGAACAGGCGCAGGACAGAAGCAAATGGAGACAAACTACAACATATGACACGTTCTTCATTCATTAAAATGAATATCTTTATTCAACATAGGAGTATTACACTCGCTTTATTGATAAGTCTAAAAAATACTACTACGCCGGTTCGAAAAAGAAAACCACCGTACTGAGAAGAACCGGCGAAAGTAACTCAGCGGGCTTTTTTTTTAAATAAACAGTTTGACATGAATATATTACAAATACAATATAAGAACTCTGATTGATTTTGAGGGAACGATAAAGAAGAAGTAAAAGTAAAAAAAAGTAGCAGCCTATATACGTCCCACCGCTGGACAAAGGCCTCCTCTATACAGAGGGTATCAGGGCATAGTCCACCACGCGGCCCCCCTGCGGATTGGCGGACTTCACATAACTTCGAAATATAAATTTTTTTTTTGTTATTATTTCGAAAATATGCAGGTTTCCTCACGATGTTTTTCTTCACCGCGGAGCACGTGATAAGTCAGCACTTAAAGTTAAAAACTTCATTGGTGCCGGCACCGGGGATCGAACTCAGGTTGCTCGAGTATATTGAATTAAAGGCGAGCGCCACACTGAGCTATCACGGCTCAAAAAGAAGAACTAGAATATGTCAACTAAAACAACAGCCTGTGGTTACTGACCAGAGCTGGTTTGTGGGCGTCTGGAGGCTTCCTCGCCTCGGTCCCGCTCGAGTGGCGGTCTGTAGCCACCCCAGACTCCTGTCCGGTTTCCGGTCTGCGGAAGCCAGTCTCGAAGTTCCTCCGCAGCATCTGGAATTCCGTCTTGCCTCGGCACGTCGACTGGTCCGGTGTAGTGGGGCGCGACTGCTCGCAGGGGATGTCGTATATCTTGGCGTCCTGTGAAGAGGCCATTTTTACTATACTATATTACAAGTATTTTTTTTTCATTAACGAAAAACGAAAACTAAGCAACGCTTGTACTATGGACACTGGGTAACCGATAAACATACTTGAACATACTTTTCTTTTGTAAATAAACAGATATAAATGTATAAACACCCAGACACAGGAAAAACGAAGTATTCGAATCCACGATATTACATAGCTAGTTCGAAGCTCGGGCCGCCAGGCTGACACGGATAATATTTGGTCACGATAAGAGCAGATTTATGACATAGAGGCGGTTTTTGCCGGGGCCATGAGTAATCTGGCTGATTATGCTTAGATTACGATAAGATAAATAAACTTTGGCCGCTCTTATGTTTATTTAAGTATTATAGTGGTTATTAGTAAGGTAGTTATTCAAGTATTAAATTCCCCCTAGCATAGGAAGGTATTACCTTATACCGCGGAAGCTTTATTGCGTTTCTTTTATGTGAAAATTTGTCAAGCTAGGACACGGTTCACCTGACGTTAAGTTAATACCGCCGCCCATGAACGTCTGCAACAGGCTTGCAGATGCGTCGACTTCCACTTGACGCCGGTCCTATGTGAGGCCGTGGTACTTGCCCTGACGAGCCTACCCATTCTTGCAGCAGCAGAAACTGTGTCCGAACAGACCTCCGAATCCGATACATTGTAACCGGTTACCCATCATAGTCTTCATTTAATTCCTACATAATGTAATTCGCTATTCATGACAAGCTTATCGCTTGTAAACACACGAACCGACTTATTGCTAAGTTTTTATTTATTTTCTTTCCAAAGATTTTTCAAATTTTAAACTTTTTTATAATGCTAATCTCTGCACTTTTTCTACATGTTCTAATGTTCCAAAGATTTTTCAATATGAAACGAAACTTTAGTTAAAACACAAATTTATTTTATTTTAATTTATTCGGAAAACTTACAGCTATGAAAAAAGATAATTGAGTGATTTTAAATACTAAAGAAGCCATTTGTTTTCACATTTAGAAATATTAAATTACAGTTAGTATAGAAAATAAATAAATACAAGTACTAAAAAAAGACACGTGCGTACAATGGCATGAACATAATTATGGTAAAAATAACAGTAAAGCTAATATATTTTTTTTATTTAGTCATTAAAAACTTGTCCATCTAGTTTCAATTGTCAATTCAACGTTAACTTATTCGTCGCCAACAAATCTCTTGATGAAATCTAAAATTTTAATGCAAATAAGTGGGGCCTTAACCATCTCTTTGCATCTCATATCAATATCTAAATAATCAAAGTCAAAGAGCCAATTCCCAGATGGGACAAGCATTTGTGCGAACCATAGTTAGTTGTAACGAAACTGGATATTAGTGTATGGGAAATTTGTGTACCTAAAGCTCTTTTACTACACAGGATAATATTATCTTAAATAATATTTATATTGCCATCACATAAGGTCAATAAATAGATTTAAAAAAATAAGTTATAACGTCCTCAAATAAGTCTACCACCGTCTTGTACCATCTACAGCCTGGCAGAATTGCAATTAACGCTCCCATTTGGAAACAAACTCCAAATACCTAGTTATCGTTCGGAAAACGTTCTTGCGGCGACCAGGGCACCGAACAGTAAACCGAATTGACCTGTCATGTACGCCTGTGCAGGGTTACAATTGCGCCAAGTGACCACAGTACAAGCGTGTGAAAAGTGCCTATTTTATGTGTAAAGCTGGCAGGGAGCTGTCAACTAATAGTGATTACCGCCACCTATGGACTTCCACAACACGTTACTTTTTCCAGATGTATTGCCAACCATTAACAAGTGGGCACCGGTTACCTCACTCAACGGACAAAACGCGATTATAAAACTCCCACTTCCCGCCGGTATTCCGTGAAGCTGTGGGACTTCCCCGGATGACATTACTCATCATGCAACAATGGAAACAATTGGAATTGTGTAGTAGCAGCAAAAATTATTTAAGCCGTTCCATTAATTTAGCGAAATGATGAGCCTACTATATGGGGTCTGTGTCATTGGGTGCATAATATTTTCGTTTTTAATCTTATGAAGGGAGCGCAAAGGATACATTCTCCACGGATTTTTATTGTGAAGATTTTGCGAGCAGCAATCGCATTTGTAAACATGCGCGAGTTGTCAGAGTTCCACAGGGTACTAGAATAAGTGGTGTAACGCTTCATAGCGGTAATACACAATTAGTATCACCGTAGATCGAGTTCACAGTTGTCTGTCATAGGCAAACTCAATGCGTTAAGGGATCCTCTACCAGAAATCATATGGAGTAGTAAGATCTTTAGGCAGGTGCAATAACTTAAACAGACTAACTAAAATTAATGGACGCTGAGTGGTCGAAATTCGACCATAATTAATTTAAGAATCAGTTTGGACAATATTAATCTATTCTCAAATACAATATATTATCTATTATGTAATTGCGTTTTTGTCAAATACTGTTTCTATGTTGATTTAATGAATTTTTAAGCATACATAATTAAAAAGTATATTAGCATTCTGTACACCTCTATATAAACTCATTCGGAATTCTCATTCTCCTCCGTCCGCACAATTTCCGTAAAAAGGGGTACAAAGTTTTTGCTTCAGTATTAATATATAGAAGATTAATCAAGTAATATCAGAAATACTTTATATATGTATAAATACATACATATTGAAGGACCCTGCACAATACTAATATTATTACTGCATCCTGCAAAACAGGTAGGAAAGTGTAATCTGTTGCAGCAACATCCAACCTGCTTAACAACCATTTTTGTCGCCCAATAAAATAAACGACCTGTTTGCAAACAAACGATTGCGAAGGGCGGGAGTCGGCTAACGGCTGTCCGTTACAAAACCGCATCGAAGCGTTAAGATACACCAATGGGACAATGGCAATAGCGCAATTACATTGAGTCTATCGTCGTGTTGTGACGATACGTGACCTTGGCCTAGTCGACGGCGAAAAACTGGGCGGGGCCACGAGACAGTCTTCGCTGTGGCATGAATGGTCAGGTCCGTCCGCGAAAGTATAAAGATCTCACAGAACTTTTTCACGTTTCATCTGGTGGGGCCACGCGACAGTCTTCACACGTCCGGGTTAGTACCACGACCTCGCAGAAGACCGGCGTGAAGTGGAGATGTTATACTTAGGCGTTTCGTATGGTGAGCGAGTTAACCGGAGCCCGTTTTATCAGAAGGTTGACAACGCATCTGCATCCCTAAGGGTGTTGCAAGCGTCCACGGGCGGCGGTTATCGCATAGCATCGGGTGAACCTACAACTCGCTTGCTACATTCACACACAAAAAAATCTACTTTAATGATGCATTTATGAAAATACCGCTTGGAAGATACAGTTCAAATTATGATGTAAAATTTATAAACAGTAACGATCTTATTCATAGTAGCCGGAGGTTTAAGAGCTCGCTAAAAACAGATTGTCAAAAAGTCTTATACATAATCGTTCTATAACGCTAAAACGTTCTATAACTCACCGATAGTGTCTTTGATATATACAAGCCAGGGCCCTACTATAAATCTTCGATAAACGTATTTCAGTGAAAAACGTGGCCGATTTTGGTCAGCTGATTACTGACGTTTGTATAGACTTCTTTTAAATCATTCCACCTTCGTTGCATTGGAGATCGTGTCGGGGTTTTTTTCGTTGATTTTAGATAATACGAATCCGCTCTTTCGCCAAATCAATTTTTCAAGATAATTTTAGAAAGAAAAAACAGTACATTATAGTTGGTAGGTAATACATGCATGAAAATTACAGTGCGAAGTTCAAGACGTATCGTATATAACAAAATTGTTTGTCTTGAATATATACTAAATATATATTCAAGACAAACAATTGGTTAACAATTAATGACAGCGCGTATGAAGATAGTGAACTATCCAATATTCGAAAGCTAAGTGCTGGCTTCGCTTGTGCTTCGCAGTAAAGCCTCAGGTATCCCCACTACAGGAACCACAGCAATATGAAACTGCCTTCATTGTTGTCAGTTTCTTTGCTGTCGTCCACAGATGGCACCTTAAACGAAATTTTGCCAACAATTGTAACACCAACTTTATCTTCCTCTGGCCAATTTTCACTACTCAGCCTTTTAATCATTCATGTACATTATTACATTACAATTATTTATTTATTGTGTTAAGGCCAAGGACTACTAATGAATAACAACAACAAAAGTTGACACGAATCACGATCGATATGTTTGACACAAGTCAAAATACTATTTTTTTATTTGTAGCTATAAGTAGATAAAAACTCATGGAACCATTATTTTATCATTCTTTCACCATTTTCGTACGAAATTGCAACATTATGTTAAATAAAGACATTTTAGTTATCGGAGGTTTATCAAACGATTATGAATAAATATTTTTACCGAACGCTTGATTAGCCTCAAAGACGTTTTAACTAATATAGGTTTATACCTCCGATAAGCGTTTTATTATGAATAAGACAATCTATAGCCAGGGAAACCTGGCATCACGCCCTTTAAAATTATTTACAGCAGGTTATTACATATTCTAATTTTATCTAACTTGTCCATATACTTTACTATATGGTTACGAGACAGATTTACGTTCTGATATCACAATCAACCATAACTACCGTCAGATTTACGATTATGTATAATCGGACCTATCTACACATTTACATGCATATTATGTTTACATCGAATCGCATCAATAGGTACATAAACATAATAACATTATTGAAACCGTGTCAAAAAAGTTCCTTCCGACAAACGTCGACGTAAGAGTTGCATAAGAGAAAAGAACATCACTAAATTATACAGAGATCGATATAACCGTGTTACATACCGATAGCAATATCAACATGTTATGCAACGGGATGTGAGTATAACCGTTTGCATGACAATAGTACATAGTGCAACGCGTTGAATAAACGGATGTTATAACTGTTCTCTACACTGCAACCTGTTACGAGTTCATTACGAACACATTATT